TAAGTCCGTTGAGTATGACACCACCTTCCCCCCATCCAGCATTACAGCAAATACAAACTGAGGGAAGTGGCTCCCAGTGCTGAGTCATAACCAAATACCCTAAGGCCAAAACACAGCAACTGTTCTGCAACCACTGTGCCCTACACAGTGTATATCTGTATAAAATATACATGTACTGTATACGTGTTAAACTATACTTACTTCTCTTTTAATAAATGTCAACAACAAAAATCAGTCATTGGTCCACAGATTCAGGAACTAAATGTAATCAGATTGGGCATAATGCAAATCAGATAAGAAATGTATAAACTCTTTTTCTTCTTTCTGATCCTTTGGTACCAGGTTTCTTGGGGCACGCATTCATGAGACTGAGAGTTTTAGCTGCAGCAAGATGTTTATGATCCTTCAGTGAAAAAACAAAATTGAGGCACTGTCAACGAATGAAAGGGAATGACCTGGGCCAGTGATGATTCTGAACAGAATTCTGGCGAACATAATGATATACAAAATTTTATCTGTTCATTTATTCATTTTTAAAGTATTTATTGAGGGATGGGTGAAATAGGTGAAGGGGATTAAGAGGTACAAAACTCCAGTCATAAAATAAATAAGCCACAGGGATGTAATACACAGCATAAGGAATATGGTCAATAATATTGTGATAATTTCGTATGGGAACACATAGTTACTGGCCTTATCGTGGTGATCATCTCATAATGGATGCAAATCTCAAATCACTATGTAGTACACCTGAAACTAACATAACACTGTTCATCAACTACATTTCAATCAATCAATCAAGTACTTATTAAACATCTACTATGAGCCAGATACAATAGTGCTAACGGAGGGCGGGTAGGGGAATAAGGCTGAGCAAGGCAGTCACAGAACCTTCGCTCACAGCACTTGCAACTTAGTGATTCTAATTAGCAGTGAGGTTGACGTAGCTGAGACACCACAGGCAGCGGGCAAACACCACTATCATAGCGCCCGAGATGAAGCACATGGTTCTGAAAACTCTCTAGACCCTCTTTTCCTGAAGCAGTCCCTCGGCCGCCCTTCCTACTCACCAGGTGTGAAGGGAAGTTGGGGCCTTTTCTGATATTGACCATGACAGACCAAAATATCCGCAAAGTTAATTCCACAGAAATGGACATCAACTCTGACCTGCAAAGGAAACAGAGCAACAAGGCAGAGCAGTACACATTTGTGGAGACAAAGTTCATTCAGTTATACCAAAATATTTGCTGAACGCCTACTATATAGCAGGTACGGAACTACCTACCAGTGCACATTCTTGAAGCAAAATGGACAAGGTTCCTGCTCTCATGAAGCTAAGAATATAGTAGAGAAGACAGGCATTAACCAAACTAATTATGAAGATTTATGTGTTAAATTACAATTCCTACACAAAATGTTAAAGATACAAATGTACAGTGCTATATAAGCGCATAATGGGGGGGGGAGATTTGACCCTTTGGGGAAGTCAGGAGAAATTCCTGAGAAAGTAACACTCGAACTAAGAACAGCTAAGAGTTAATTATTAAAAACTGGGGGTAGTGGGGAGGAAAGCCTGGCACAGACAAAAGCAATGGCATGTGCAAAGGCCCCGTGGTGGGGACAAAAGAAAAACCAGTGTGCTTTGAGGACAAGGAGGAGAAAAAGATGGGCTAGAGAGAGCAAGACCCACACCATCGAAGGTTTTGTAAGCTTTATTATGGATCTTAGTGTTCATAGCAGGAATACTGGAAGCCATTAAGAGATTGTAAGCAGAGGGTAACATGATCAATTGTTTGGAGAATCAGGAATCCTACAAGCTAGTTCTAGAGTCCCCAGTTTCTGGGTTTCATAACAAAACTAGATCGGAGGCAGGCCTGCAGGAGTTTCTCTAAGTTTTATTAGGCAGTAGTTCTCAAAGTGTGGTCCCCAGAACACCAGCTTCAGTGTCACTTGGCAACTTGTTAGACGTTCAAATTCTCAACCCCCAACCTACTGAATCAGAAACTCTGGGGACGAAGCTTGTTTGAACAAGCCCTTGGTGACTGTGATGCAGCCTGACGTCAGAGAACTATCAAAGACCAACACAACTCAACAGGGCTTGGAATCACAGGAGGATATGAAGGCTGAGACAGAATTGGTGAGAGCTCTTTGTTTGTTTGTTTACATTTCCAATTTAGTACAGAGGTGGCCATATTGGTGAGAAGACATTTTATGGGCAAAACACATTCATTCAACAATGTTTT